AAGATAGGACAAATTTTAGGCTATGGATTTTATGGCTTCTGTCACAGCTATTAAAGTCTTCAAATCGCTGAACTAGGAAGCAAAGAAACATAGCATAAACATGAATGAGGGTGTCCGTGTTCCAATAAAACTTTATTTGCAAACAGGAAATGGACAAGATCTGGCTTGTGCATACAGTCTACCTACTCTGGTTCAAATTGCTAAATGTTCTTACAAATAACCAGAGAGAGGATTAGACTGTCCCTGATGGTACTCTGTTTACAGAGGCATAAAGCTTCTGGAAGTTTAAGTCTCATCAATTGAGTAATCAATTGATCACAAGAGAAGCTTACCTTTGTCCCCAATGACAGAATGGCAGAGTGAGATGAGTTCAGTCTACCTCAGGCCCCTCTGGAATGGTCACAGGAAGAATAAAGGACTACCTGCTTCATTACAACATCTATCATATCTTCACTCTTTCTCTTACTCTTTTATCTTTGTTATAATTGGTGTTTTTTTAAGTAATTTCCAGATTTGGAAGAATGTCATGAGTTTATATATATATTTATATATATATATATTAAATTATATAAATATATAAATATTATATATATAATATAGTAGTTACTTAGCAATAATAGTATCTGTTACATTTGCTTGGAACTTTTATGCTGTATTGAGCCTTTGGCCACTTTACCTGCATAGCTTGGCTCCACTTCTTGCAATAATTCCACAAGGTAGGTACAGTTAGTTCATTATTTTTCCCCATTGGAATGCTGATATTCAGCAGTTTCTCTCTCTTCCCCTTCTATTCCTTCCTTTCTTCTTCCTTCTTCATTTCTTTCTTCCTCCCTTATCCTCTCCTCTCTTATTCTTTAGAGAACTTTGTTTCTAACCTAAATATTGTTTCTTTAAGCTGGGGACTCCTACATGCTTCCCTCCCTCATCAGATGAAACTCCTCAGGTAGATCAGTTACAGCAATATGTCTTACTCCTCAGAGTAAGGCAGAACAGTGATCCTGAGCTCAGTCCCTCCCTTCTTATTCCCTATTTTTTCATGCCCATAAAACTGAACCAGGGACTACAGCCCATCCACAAATACTGAAGTAGTATGGTTGCCATGGATATTTATGGAAATAGATATTAGTTGGCAGTAGGACACCTAAGCAGCTCTCCATGATGAGGTTGAAGGGGACAGCTACAGATGGGGAGGGGAAGAAGCATTCACTGGGATGCCTGAGAGCTGCATTTTTGAGGCTGGGGGCATTGCCGTGATCAGCCTGGCACAGAACCTTCAAAACTGGGTGGTTCTGCAGTATGAAGGATGCTGACAGACAGGGATCTAAGAAATGTCAAAAGTCACAGGCAGCTAGGGACTGGAGAGATGGCTCAGAGGACTCGCAACTCTTGTAGAACACTCAGGTTCAGCTCCCAGCATCCACTCTGCAGCTCACCACCATCTGTAACTCTAGTTCCAGGGAACTGCATGCCCTCTTCTGACCTGTGCAAGCACCAGGCATCCACATGGTGCACATTCATACATGCAGGCCAAACACTCATACACATAAAATAGCATACCTGCAAACACACACATACACTAAATGTAACAGAGGAGGTGAATTTTGAGCTACAACAGCAAGACACTTGAGAAGTAACTCATTAGGCATAAAGGTCTTTCACCCCTGAGAATTACCATTGGACCGGATGGGATGCCTGCCCTCCTCAGAGACTCATGTTTAGCTTAGGTACCCATAACACATACCCCGGCACCTCAGAACCCTCCACACATTGCTGCAAAGTGGCTTCCTGTTGTTCTTTTATAAATTATTGCTGCCTTTTAAGCCACAGCTCTCTGAACCAGCTACTGCACCTCTACCACTACCAGCAGCAGTTAGGCCACAAGGGCCATAGCCAGAGGAAACTATGTTCCCACTGGCTCCAATTCTCATAAAGCTACAAGGGCACTTAACTAAACCTCTGTCCCTCTAAAGAACTCAAGATTCAAAGGTTAAAGTGGAATTCTGCTTTTCAGAGGCTGAATAGCAAGTAGCTCACCTCCCCTCCTTGCTGCTGTCCTCCAAAAAGCCCTTGTGTTTCTCACCTGGCTCCTCCCTACCACTTCCTGTCAGCTAGTTGCTGACTCAACCTCCTGACCACAGGTGAATTTAATTTAATCTAACACATCTTTGCATAATTAAACAAACATTCTAGAGCATAAATAAAAGTAACACACCTTAAAATAATACTCTACAACATTTCCCCCTTTTTGTCTAAAAAAAAAGAGAGGTTTTAACTTTAACCTATGACTGTACACAGTAAGAATAACTATCAAGCAAAGATTACATTCACAATGTAATAAATTTCAGTTCATTTGTGTTTGGCAAATTAAAAGAAAATACTCCATTATCTATCCTATCTTAATGAATCTAAAGTTTTATACCTAATTTTCTCTCTATCATAACTGAGGAAAACTGCAACTATAACTATCTAGTCTTCAACTCCATCAAAGACCCAGAAGGGTAATATTATTTGAGTAAATAAAAAGTGCATTGCAAACAATTTCCAAAACTCTAGCAATGACAGAGACATCTGACTGCCTGGACAGTTAACCAAAGTTCCTCTGCAACACTGGGGTATCCATCTTTCAGCCCTCATGCCTATAGTGTCTGGCAGAATTCTCAGTGAAGCAGAAATTTGAAGGACTGTCCTGTCTTGTATTGGCAAAGTTCATCAGTTGCTTTTCTCTGTGTCCTGCAGAATATCTGACAGACTCTTCTGTGAAGCAGGAATTTTGAAGGACTGTCCTGCCTTGTTTTGGCAAAATTCAACAATCACTTTCCTCTGTGTCCTGCATGTCCAGTCTGCACATCTCACTGTTAACAGTAAAAGGCAAAGAACAGTTTCTTAGCCTAGTGGCTAACCTTGCCACAATGAAAGCAAACTCCATAAGGAGTTTCTTCAATGCCCATCATCTTCTCTGAAGTAAATTGGTGCTGCCAGGAGCAGATGTGTCTCATTGTCATGAAAAATCTTACATTAACAAAACATTTTAAATGCCATATTTTATATGTCTTGGAAAGGTTTGAAGACCATATCTATCTAAAACATATCTCTATATGATCCTGAAAGCATACCTAACATATCTACAAATTTGATTGTTATAAATGACTAGCTACTAATTTATGTTTCTTGATTATCCTAAATAGTTCATAATAATAGCTTTCAAAAACTAGAACTTCACCCTACATTTCCAAATGAAGTACATAGGTACAATACCTCCAACAAAAATAGAAACATATATACAATATGTTGTAACAAAAATAACCTTAAATTTTTATCAATATATAAAAATCCTTTAAACAAGAGTAGAAACATATATACATTGTAACAAAAATAACTTTAAATTTGTATTAATATTCTATGTCCCCCTAAATGATAACAAACATCCATAACCCACCAAATAACCAAAAATCACCCCCACACCCCAGCTCTTGGGAATGTGTGTGTTGTTTTCTCAATAATGCTTCCTGTTGTCTGTGAACAAAGCATTGTTAGTGTTCCAGAAAGAATATTTGAGATAATGACCAAGTCCTTGGGAAGACCAGTAGTAACCTTTGCTGATAGATATCACCTGTCAAGTTTCAAGAGGTCTGGCCTGATCAAACCTGATCCATATTAACCCTGAAGGAATTCACAGCTTCTCATCTCCTGCAGGAACAAAACTCCAAAGCATTTTTGATTTCCATTTGACAAATATATTTTTTTACTTCTTTTTTTTTAAGTTAAGGCGTTCCTAAAGTACATAGTCTGATTGATTTCAACACTCCCTCTTTCAATTCCAGGTCTCTTTGCAGCTGTTGTTTATTTAATAATCAAAAAATTCAAAATCAACACAGCATACAGGACACAAACTCCCTGTGTATTTCCCATTTTACATGGCTTTTTTTTCCTTTTACTCTCTCTTTAAAGACTGTATTTTATGAACTATTCATTTTTTTTCTATGACTATACCCTTTTCCTTTTCTTAAGCCTACGCACATTGTTAAACATACTGTTACCTGCTTTTTCCGTCAGGACCTCTTTTATTGCATATCTTCAGCCTTTTTTGACCATATAAGAAAACTGTAGACTGCTAACCTACACGTGGATTCTCCTCATGAGGATCTCAGCTGGCTCTGCCCACTTCTCAGGTCCTGAAAGCCAAGTGTGAAACTCATGGCTGGTTGGAGGTTTGTCTGACCAGGAACTGCATTCAGCCTTCCTAAAGCTCTAGAATGCCAATGCTTGCACTGTGGCGGGCCTTTTTTAACTCAGGTTTTTTTTTTGTTTTGTTTTGTTTTTTTGTTTTTGTTGTTGTTGTTCTTGTTGTTCCTACTCAATGTGCTAGCTGTTCAAGGGTTCAGTGACCAGCAGAAACTATCTGGCTGAAACTCTTAAAGGAGCTGTATCCCTTTTTTGTTGTTCAGCCTTTTCAGGCCCTACATGGAAATATGAACCCCAGGTTGGTATGACAAATTGTTATTATTTTTTCTCTTTTGGGGGCGCCACCCAGCTCCCAAACAAATTCACACATGGAGGCTTATTATTACTTATGAATACCTGGTCTTAGCATGGCTTAGTTTCTAGCCAGCTTTTCTTAACTTTAATTATTGCATCTACCTTTTGCCTCTGGGCTTTTTTCATTTTGTATTTCTGTAAATCTTACTCTGTTGCTGCTTGTGTCGCTGGGTGGCTGGCCCCTGGAGTCCTCTTTCTTCTCTGGCTCCTCTCTTTTTTTTTTTCCACTCCTCCATCTCTTTTCTCCTCCCAGATTTCTCCTTCTATCTCTCCTCTCTGCCTGCCAGCCCCACCTGTCCTTTCTCCTTCCTCACTATTGGCCGTTCAGTTCTTTATTAGACCATCAGGTGTTTTACACAGGCACAGTAACACAGCTTCACAGAGTTAAGCAAATGCAACATACACAAAAGTAGCACACCTTAAAATAATATTCCCCAACAGCTCTCCCCTTTCCCTCTCCTTAGGCACCTTTTCTGGGCCCCGTGAAGAGGGTTTTAAAGCGCTGGAGTTGAAGACTCGGGTTTTCTGGACTCCTACATCGCTTTGTTGGCTGGGCCCCTTGCTCTGCAGCAAATGAATATCAACCTTTGCTCAGCCCAATCTGACTTGGAAGAAAAACTTCCGTTCCTTTGTGGGAGTTTCCATGACACCAAGAGATTATGGGCTCACGAGAGCTGCATCTCTGTATGGAGCTGCTTGCACACGAGAACCGAGTGGGCGGTTAACGACTTCTGTTGTACTAACACGCGGACATAGTCGACAAGCCCTGTGGACACCTGGTCAGGTTCCCACGTGGCCTCCCTCAGGGAGACATTGTGACAGCGCTTTGGCCCAGCTGGATCTTGCTGGGGTTGGTCGGGAAGGATCAGCCAAACAGATCAGTTAGCATTTTAGTCCCTGTGCTTTTATTTTTGCTGAAATCTCTTGAGCGAACAGTTGCATCACTAATTGCTAAATATGACATTATCAGACTGTGCTTCCTGGGGGTAATCAGGGGGAGCACTTAATTACAACTGCTTTTGTCTCTAACTAATGGGAAAGAATGTTACCATCCATGCCCCTGTGCCGCCATTCCAGAGGATTGAGCTATAATCTCTAGGTGTTAACCGAAGTAGAGGGAATGACCCAACCTGTGGACATCATTGCTTTACCCGAATTTACCCAGCAACTAACAAAATAGGTCTCTTTTACTAAAGACTAATTTTCACATTAAAAAAAAGAACTTTATTATGGGCCTAGTGCAGTTAAATTGCTGGGCACAGTGGGAATCCTGCACTTAGGCTGGTAATATTACACAATGAGAAAATGGCTCAGGTGCGTACCCCGCTGCCTGGTAACTCAGACCCTGGATAATTCTCTTTCGATGAAATTCCACCAGGTGGCACAAAATGTCTCAAAGTGCCTCTGAGCATGCTTTCTGGTGAATGGGGAGAAAAGGATTGAGAAGAACAGCAGGGGCCTCACCCACTCTTTCTGAATGCACACCTCCTTGCCCTCAAGCTGCTTTTACAAAGGCAAAAAGACACATCCATAGCAATGTATGCATTCTATATGAATATCCTTTTGAATAATTTATGAGACTAGGAGGAAGACACATGGGGCATTGTGGGAGGAGGGAAAAAAAGGAAGAGGCAGGGGACTCGCAAGGTTGCCAACATGCCAAATCCAAATTCATCAATTTCGTTCAGCGGTCTTCATGTAAAAATGCTTCTGTGAATTTAAATGCAGAATCTTTCACACAAATTGTAAATGTTCTGTCATGCTGAGAAACTGTAGTGATTCTAAAGATTTGTAAAGTTTAACTGAAGTAAAAATTATCAATATTCAAAGACCAGGGGAAGTGTAATGAAATGAAGTAAAATGCTTTATTATTCTATATTCTTACCACCCCTGAGAATAGCCCAATATTCAACTAGCTCAGGGACCTGCGCTCATTAGGTTTTTTGTCAACTTGACACAAGCTAGGGTCATCTGGAAGTAGGGACCTCAACTGAGAACATGCCTCCAACGGACAGGCCTGTGAGCAGGTCTGTGGGGGCATTTTTTAAAATTAATAATGATATGGGAGGACCAAGGCCATTGTGGGAGTTGTCACCCCTGGGTGGGTGGTCCTGGGCTGCACAAAGAAGCAAAATGAGCAAGACATGGGGAGCAAGCCAGCAAACATTATTCCTCCATGGTCTCTGCCTTGGTTCCTGCCTCCATGTTCCTGCTGCAGTTCAAGTCCTGCCCTCCCTCAGTGATGGAGTCTGACTGGAGAGTTTATGGTGAAATAAACCCTTTCCAGCCAACTTGCTTTGGGTCATGATGCCTTATTACAGTGACAGAAACCTAATTAGAAAGGACCGGAGGTCTGTTAGAATGGGGTGTCTGTTAAATAAGCAGGTATAAATTGTGAGAACACAAAGTCCAGGTCAGAGGTAGCCTCAGTGACCAGGGAGTCTGAGGCTGCTCATACTAGTGTCTCAGCCCCATAAACAGACTACAGAAGTCTCATAAAGTATCACACATATTCAGGTTGAAAACTTCCCTGATGATTTTAATATATCTGTAATTAAGAAATGTCGAGCTAAGAATTCATTTCTTTTCACATCAAATAAGTGTCTAATTAGGGTTTCTTTTGCCGCGATAAATACCGTGACAGAAAACAAGTTGGGGAGGAAAGGGTTCATTTCAGCTTACACTCAGATTCTACTCCATGACTGAGGGAAATCAGGGCAGGAACTTGGGCAGGAATGGAAACAGAGGCCATGGAAGAATGCTACATACTGGCTTGCCCTTCATAGCTTGATGGTTTGTATTCTTATGCACTCCAGGACCGCCTAGCCAGAGATGGCACCACTCACAAGGGGCTGGACCCTCGTACGTTAGTCATTGATCAAGGAAGTGTCCCACCACCTTGCCTGTGGACCAGTCTGACGGAGGCACTTCCCAGCTGAGGTTGCTCTTGTCAGATAACAGTTACTTGTGTCAAATTGACAAACAACTGACTAGCACACTGTGGGTAGGTCCCAAGAGCTTCATGCTAATAGGCCCTTGACAAGCACAAGCAAATCAATGATGTGAGCTGATCTAGGAGGTGACCCTTGAAATCCTTTTTAATTTACTTTTTTTTGAGAATTTCATACACATGTGTTTACACTATTTTCACCCCTCCCTCTTCTGTGCCAATGCCTCCTGTGTCTCCTATACATTATTCTCTTCTCTCTCTCTCTCTCTCTCTCTCTCTCTCTCTCTCTCTCTCTCTCTCTCTCTCTCTCTCTCACACACACACACACACACACACACACACACTATTGAGTCCATTTAGTGTTGATCATATGTGTGTGTAACATTCTTTGATCATATTAGAAAGGAGAAGTCAACCCCTGTGGAGCTTCAAGCATTCATTAGCCTCACCCATCACCGGACACTTAAGCAGGTGCCTCTTCTCTCCCTGAGAAATGGAGAAATGAGGTGTGTATTCACATAAATATGATACAGAATTATGTTTAAATTAGAGCTTGGAAAATCCAAAGCTGAACATTCTGAGTACCAAGAAAGTAAGATCAAAGGGGTCAGTGGTGAGGGCTAAATCTGGTCCAGAAGAGAACAGTCTGCTCACTTTAGCTGAACTGTGGAGTGCATGAAAGCCAGAGGAGCCAGGTCCTAAGTTTTAGATGGAAAATTTTATTTCTATTTACTTATTTTAGCTTTTAATTCCACTTTACTTTGTGTGTGTATATGTATGTATGTATGTATGTATGTATGTATGTATGTATGTATATGTGCATGTGCACAGATACATGCCATAACCCAAGATACATGCCATAGCCCAAGAGTGGAGGTCAGAATTTAACTTGTTAGAGTTAGTTCTATCCTTCCTGTGGGTTCTGGGGATTAAAGTCAATTCGTCAGGCTTGGCAGCAGGAACCTTTCCCTGAGAGGCCATCTTGCCAACCCTAGGATGAGACTTCCAAATCTTATTTAGGGTAAAAACTAACAGTGTTTCCAAGTGAAGCTATAGCATGATGTTCTATGTATTAAGAAGTATGTAATGGCAGTTATGCATGGAGTGCATTTGAACAGAAATAGACAGAATTAATGCTTACCTATCCCTGAGCACTTTCGGGTGCTGGGGCTTGGGATAGGTACAAAATTATGCTCAGTATTTCACTCAAGTCTTGCTGCAAACAGTAAAGAAGTATTGCATGCCCATTTTAATATCAAGGGCAGGGCAAGTAAACTGATGTGTAGGAGAATTCTTTGCTTCAACACGAAATGGGAAAGGGGTGGACAGCAACTGGAACATACTTCTGTCCGGCTTACTGTCTGTTTGATATGGAGGTGACAAGATGGTTCTAAGTCACAAAGTGGCAATAGTTGCTCACGACGGAGGTGAGGAGAAAAAGTGATTTTTATTTTTTGTTTGTTTGTTTGCTTGCTTGCTTGTTTTTGTTTTTGAAATATTTCCCTGCTAGAGCAGGACATAGCATATTGATATTTTCTATTGTCAATTCAGTTGCAGAAATCATATCTGGGAAAAAACCTAAGGAGGTTTTTAAATTCAGGCTTACATAGGAAACAACACTGTGAGTAATTGGTCTTATCCCTTTTCTGATACTGGGGCACAACCATCAGGTTCACTCAGAGCTCTTCTGGGTCCATGGTCACAAGGGCAGTCTGAGGTTGCATTGCCTGTCTGTTTTGAACCCCCAAGCTGCATGACAGCAGACTTCACTTAACCATGCCAAGAATCTAATCTCTCAGAGTGCTTTACAAAAGCAGTAATCACATTTAAACTTACCTAATACCTCTTCTTAAAGTTTTCATTTATGCGGGCCACATGCATGAATGATGCTGCCCTGGAACACAGGACTGTGCACCGTGGTGAGCCTTGAGCTTCCTGGTTCCTTCCTCATCTTGGGAAGGGCTGCCTGTGTCCATGTCTCAGGGTGTCTATTTCATGGGGGTAAATGAGAAATACACAGCAGTCTACCCTTATCCACTAGAGACAACCTTAGACCCCAGATCATACTGCAGTCCCTATTAAGATACAGAGGCCCAGGACCTCTCTCTACATGTATATGTATTATGCATGCACATGTAACATGTGAATGTACTATATATAATCTGCATCTAAAACAATACCTCTCTGTATATCATTCACATGTGTACCTATATCATCTATATACTGATGCTCTGTGTGTCTTTTCTTGGCGGAAGGGCAGCACTTTGGCTCTGCTACCTCTGTTACTGCTCGTTAGTTTGTTCATCTAGTAGAAGAGGCACCTGCGATCATCTTTGCAGGATGCCAGGGACCGTGAGCAGGTGCCTAGGCAGAGACAGCCTTCCTATGCCGTGCCATCTAGAATGATTCTATGCAAAGGTCGACTTGATCTGGGTTTTGAGGAATGCTCAGGCATCAAGAGAGTAGGAAAGGGACGTCAAATGACACTGCCAACAGAGGGGTGGGACGGTGTCCTTTCATTGGCAGGTAGGTGTCCACCACAGCTGTTCACTGTGTTTCTCAAGTCCCCCCGAGGCTTTGTGACTTTTCCCACTGACTTCCATGACTCCTCTCTTTCCTCCTCCTCAGAAGAACCAAGAGCATTGAGGGAAGAGGCTGGAAACTGACTCCTGCTGAACAGGGAGATGGACAGCCACAGATAGTAATATCTGTACAGTTTCTTCTATGTTCTGTGAACTCTCCCCTTGAACCTGCTGCTTCACTGCTGTTTTTGTTTGCTCCTTCGCTTTGCAGCATTACTTCCTGTCCCCTCCCTGTCCCTTCTTAAAAATAAAGCTGTCCGCAGGTATCCAAAACATCAGAATGCAAAGCGAGCAGGCATGAGCAGCTTCAGGCTCGCTACGGTTTCCTCACACATGATCCTGTGCATAATGCCAATCACAGGGAGGCAAGACCTTTGGTGGAAAGCAGGGACAGGAATTGTTGCACTCTGTTTAGCATGTGGGAGCGATGGAATGATGGACCAATGGGATTATGAATTGCTTCAAACTCAGAAGATGCCATGACAACTGAAGTTGATGTCCCACCTTGCTGAGCATCTCACATTAGATGAGATCTGCTGGACTCTTGACTGGGAAATGAGAGCTGTGCAGGATGTTGCTCGTGTGAAGGCTTACCTCCACTCCTGCTACCAGATATGGTCAGGCTGCTTGGTAGTTCTGTCACAAGCTACAGACAGTCTGTTTCTTCGTTTCAATGTGTGTGTTGAACTATTTTTGTATCTTAAGATCTGCAGATCCTTTCCAAGGGCATTTGCTTGAGTCCCTTGTCAGATTGCTGCCACTTTGCTTCTGATATCACTGAGATGTTATTTGTAGCAACACTGGGTAACAACTATATACAGCATGCCCTACTTTCATCCACACAGGCACATCCTAATCACCCTCAAACAAATATTCCTCATCGTTTTACACAGGTAAGCATCAACGCATAAGACACAACGTGTGTGGCGGAAAAGGTGTCAGTCCGGCATCCAAATCTCACTTCATAAATTTTGTTCTCCTCTTTAGAAGTAGAAGCTTCTAGATGTTCACAGTGCCAGGCCCCCTTGTACCTGAGCTCAGGGATGCGACTTGTCTAAACGCAGGAGATCACACTGTCTAGCCAACAAGGGGCTAACAGAGTACAAGAGAAGGGGTGCGAGGTGGTGCTGTGTGCACAAAGCCCTCCAGGCAGAAGGCAGCTGCTCCCTGCCACACAATGGCCGCGGGAGCTACTAGAGCTGAATCCTAGAGAATCCTAGGTTTCAGTGCAAGCAGCCAGACCGTTTGGGAAATGTTACTTGGAAACTCGCCTCAATATTCCTTTTCTACGTTCCTAAAGCTTTCCTCTGTGCTGGATACCATTTCTGTAAATTTCCTCTGGTTTGCCTTTTGTTTGCCTATGGTGAAGATCTTAACTGATCCCCAGTACCGGACACTCCAGCGGCCCACAGTGAGAAGGTCTGCCTTCGTTCCAAAGGTTTCACTCCAGCAGGGGAGATAAGGTGGTCTTACCATCAATGTGTGTCTGATTATCTGTAACACTTACTCAGATGCAGAAAGGAAACTCGCAGTGGGTCCATGATAAGGCAGAGGATATGCCAATTTGGGGAATCTGCCCTGAAAAGATGCCCTTCAAAGGTCAAAGCCACACGTTGCTAGAGTTAGTGGCGGGGGAACAGGTAGACTGGCACATGGCCTTCAGTCTGAGTATATTGCTGGAAAATGCAGTCTAAGACAGAGTGAGCATCAAGGAGCCTGTGCGGAGTCTACACAGATGGTGCCCCCAGTAGGATTACACTTCCCAGGGAGCTTGTGAACCATATGGAGGGGAAGGTTCCCCGGCTGAGAGTTCCGCTCCATTATTTCGCTTTGGAAGTAGCTCATTGTGATCAAGCTTGAATTATCAGATGTGAGCCAATGGGTATCTGAATGTTATGTTTGCCAGAATTGGGAATCACTCGTTCTTAGCCTAATCACAAAGGATGCATGGGTCCAACCACAGTATATTCTGAGCCATGCCACCAGGGTCCTCTACAACACCACGGCCACAGGCATGTGACTGCAAAGAGAACCAGTGCCCTGAATCGTTCTAGAAATCAAGATCATCCAAGAGCACTTGGTGTCTGAGTCTCACCCACTCCCAGATATGACTTTGTGATGGGACATTGAACTTAGAGGCTGGGGGAACAGTGCCCTTGTTTTCCCAGCACTGGGTTCTGTCCATCACTGCCACCATGCGTGACATTTAAGAGAAGCCGACTGTGAGTTCCTATTCACCTTTGGATGTGTTTATAAACCAGGAAAAAATATAGACCAAAGTCAGGGAGGGGGCGGAGAAACAGGGCTCTCGCTACATGAGTTAGGGCTACCCAACCCTGGAGTATTTTAGGTCCAGTGTCCCCTCCTCAAGAGTGCAGGCCCAGTGTCCAAACACCATGGCAAACTATATCCTCCAACTGTCCCCCAAAGATCTCTAAAAAGAGGAGCCACTGAGACCGGGGAGGGCGCTCCTCGGGGGCGATGTGTTTTGTTTGTGGCAACACGTGAGCGAGCGAGCCGAGATTCCAGAGCCCAGAAGGACAGGAGGCGCAGCAGTAGCAGCACACCAGCTGGCGCGGGCTGCACAACAAACAAAAGCTGACGAAGTTGCCTGCCATGTGCACGAGCGACTTCCAAAGCCTTCAGTGACGAAGAGGGGGGGGATATATGCTGGCAGAGCGCC